GTTCAAGTTCTGCTAATTCACAAGCCTAGTGAGAGTCATGCTCGCAAAGAAGGTAATGTTGACTATTAAACCAACAAAATCAAAACTTGAGTGAATTGAGTGAGAGTCAGTGGGTTTAATCAGTGACATTAACAGATTTACTATTCGGCGTCTTCTCCTTCCCTTGGAGTTTTTACACATAGAAAAGGCGAAAAAAACATATTGCATTTTCCAGTTTTCTCTCAGAACGATGATCTGAGTTACTATTGCAATTCTCGATGCAGCATGAATGACATACTGTACACTGGTGACATTTTTCACAATCACGACAAACAATCAAATACTGCCCTAAACTCAATAGCGGAAAGGCAGCGCTATCCTGCAAGTATGGCAGATAAACAAAGCAGTTTCCCAGAACTTCCATAGTATTTATGGATAGTATGCAAACTGGTACACAGCTAAATCTTTTTTATATATATTTTGGAAATATGTGAAAAACAGATTTCCAAAGATAATTATTGATTTCATTAGTTTTGATTTATTTCTTTATTTTTTTTAAGATCTATTTTTAGCATTTTTTGCCTTAATTTTGATAGGACAGTTAGTTGACAGGAAGATAAGTGAGAGAGGGTATGGGATCAGGAAACGATTTTTCAGAAGCTGCTTCTCGATAAGCTATCTGTTTGGTTGTTAGATAACATCTGTCTTCTCTTTCATTAACCCATGGGTCTGTGTTTAATTGGAGAGATGCTCTTTATGTGTTTGTGAGTTATATTCTGCGTGCTCTTCACCTTCTCTGCCTGTCTGCTAATTGGTCATTATAATGTGCTGGCTGACTGGTTTAATTCTTATCCTGATTAGCCCTCTGCTAAACATGAGCAGTTTTACGTTTTCAAAACATACTAGCCTTTTAGGTTATTTGAGGATCTACTCTAATATAATGATATTGGTTAACCCACATCTTCACCCTTCGATGATCAAAATGCCAAAGATTCATTTGTTAGAACAAGTCGAGAACCACTTGAATTTGCTTTTAAAGCTGTCTTAAGCGCAGCTTGATCATTTGTTTTCATGGCAGCAATCAAATGGCGTAGTATTGCAGCAGTGCGCCGCGAGTATGAAAGTGGATGAATTATTCAGTTTGAATGATATCAGATCTTAAAGGTTCTGTCAGTTGCTGAGAGGGAATAGAGAATAGAGGGCAAAGTATGGCTCGATGTGATTTACCCAAGTAGGACATGTTCCTGGCTCAACAGCCCTTGTTGGACTCAGAACAATCTTCCTGTCAAACAACCATTGCCCTAATGGTACATTTCATACAAACTCGGATGTGGGATATTGTGACCCGTTATCTCTGGCTTCCAAATATATAGCATGCGGCTGTCTGATGCTTGCTATTAGAACCATAAATATTAATTTACTGAATCTTTACACACTTTAAGGTAGGAACTTTGACTCATTGATGCATTTTATTTGTTTAAAAGTAAAAGTTTATTAGTAATTCTTTGGGTGCCACTATGTTCATGTCATACAAACTTAAAAAAATATGATTAAAATGCGAATATGAATGTTGTGGCCTAATTTAGGTTTTTCCACATTTTGTGCATGAAATCTAGCGATAAAGGTTTCAGAAAATTCTCATTTAGCAGGTTTATGAGGAGACAGCCTCGTGCGCCCAAACTACATTTCCCATCATCCTTCTTGGCAGCTCAAGAACGCTAATGGTGTATTCACCAGTTAGGAAGTCATAATTATGCCATCAGATGCGTTTATAAATCACTTTGGGTGGAGCAAGATGATCATCACCTTTTCTAGAAAAAAATACAAGAATTTTTAACTCTATTCTACTAAATGATGAATAAATAATTTTCTTTTGGTTTGTTTTTGCTTTATGTTTTTATTCAATTGATGAAGGTGCTGTAAATTGAATCTTTATATATTCTATCATAGTTGTACAGTACTATTGTATTTTGTACATGCAACTTAGCTAGTCTTATTGTAAATAAGAAAACAATAATTCCATTAATTTCAACAAATTCACCAGACACTGTATTTATTGCGTCCACCATATTGTCCTCACTGACACACCACCAATTCGGAAACTCAGGGCTTAAAGAAAGTAGAGTTTCTGTAATTATGACTTTGTGGTGGCGTTCATGTGCATTCAACTCATAAAAATGATCTTTCCGACATGATTTGAACGCACCATTAAAAAACATCAAACACTGATTACACACTACCGCTTCCTCTTTCTCCTTTATGTTACATCGGTGCTAAATAAACCTTCCTGTGTTAGTCAGGAAGTGAAAAGGAGAGAGAATGAAACATGAAACTGTCAAGAGAATCAATTTTATTCCAACTATAATCACTCATAAATAGGAACTTCCCAGAAGGAACTGAACGGAAGAATGCTGATCCAGAAACATTTTGTACTCGGGTAAATTACATTAAGCACAAAGTCTGAAGGTAGAGCTCAGCTTTGTTTTCTGTCTGATGCAGAAGCACGTAACAGAAACAACCAATCGATTGACCTGACAGCTGACTGAAATGACTGACTGACCCGTCCATCCAATGTGTCCGGCAGAAGACCGTGTAGTTTCTAATTGTGTCTTTACCCCACGTTCCTTCTTCACTTACTTGTTTGGAACTGCTGGGACATGACGCCGCATTCAGGACCGGAAGCGCAGCTACAAAGCAGTGCAGTCATGTGATGAAGGGGTGACATCTGGAGAGGCCCTCCTGGCCTTGGCTCAGAACTCAACATACATGCACAATGTACTCGGGCCTGCCTGCATCTTCCTCCGCAAGGGCTTCGCTGAGAGCCGGAAGGCTGTACGTAAGTCTGGACATGCACATCTACACACACATTAACGTAAAAACAAGTTCTCACTTATCTTGTAAGTGGAAATTTCAGAATTCAGAGCAACACAGTATAGGCACTGAACATTATATCATGCATGGGACAAAGTACAGTTATCATCACTAAATAAAGTCTTTTATTATCCTGAAAGAGTTTATTTTGCAGTATTTGACTGGCTGACTTTTCAAACAAAATAAATATACATTTTATTATTGATTTAAATTGAAATACATATAAAAATTGGTATGAAGTTTCTATATTTATAACAAAATATTACACGATATTACTACATTATTGTAGTACGATTCACTATTGCTTTTCTTGTGGTGTGACATTCTATGCTGTCTATTTGAAACAGTATTTTTTTGCAATTCTTGTATAATTCTTTATGCAAACAGGTTTTATGAGCTCACTGAGAGCTTACGTGTACTTAAATTGTAGATATTGTCCATATAAAATGGACTGGATATGAAATGGATAATAAAGGGAAAAAGTGTTTAAAATTATGACAAATAGGACTTTCAGCCTTTCCCTGCTGTTGAATCTTCAGCGGTGCAGCAAAAGAAATCATTATTACCTGAGCTGTGAATGTAATGCAATATCACATAGTCTGTACTGAATGTGATGAATATGTAATGGCAAGAAATCTCTCTCTATTGATTTGTCTTCACGGGATGCAGGTATAAACAAATATACAATACCTACAATTTGACCATTGTAGTACGATTTATAGATGAATGAAATAAATGGTTATTTTTAGTGAATCAAAAAAGCGTAGTCTGATTCACAAATGAGAGACTCTTATGAGCCGGTACTTTTTAATGAATCAAAAACATCTGATTCACAAATGCGCGTGACTGTTATGAGCTGGTTCTTTTTAGTCAATCAAAAACATACAGTGTGAAAATGCAGTTTGATTCCTGATCAAGTGACTATTATGAGCCCGTTCTTTTTAATGAATCAAAAAACATTTTGCGCAACCAGTGTAGTCTGATTCCCAAACAAGTGACTGTTATGAGCTGGTTGTTTTTAATTAATCAAAAACATTTAGCACAACCAATGTCGTCTGATTCACATTCGAGTGACTGTTATGAGCTGGTTCTTTTTAATGAATCAAAAACATATAGCACGACCAATGTAGTCTGATTCCTGAACAAGTGACTTTGATTAGCCTTTTTTTTTTATGAATCAAACACATATAGTGCGACCAATGTAGTCAATGTAGTCTGATTCCTGAACAAGTGACTCTTATTAGCTGGTTCTTTTTAATGAATCAAAAATATACATAGTGACCAGTGTACAGTAGTCTGTTTCACAAATTAGTTTTTCACAAATGAGTGACTGTTAGTCACTGTTAGTCAATCAAAAACATATATTGTGACCAATGTAGTCTGATTCTTGAATGAGTGAGTCTTATGAGACGGGTTTTTTTAGTGAACCAAAAATAGACAATGTGACCACTGTTTTTAACAAATCAAAAATACAGCACGACCAGTGTGATATTATATATATATATATATGTATATATATATATATGTATATTATATATATATATATATATATATACTGAAGCACTGATACATTTTAAAGGCTGTTCTTCTCAAATGCAGACATTTTGCAGACAGTCATAAAGAAGCAGTGCTACGTGCTGGGTTTATGTACGAACTGCAGGGATCTGCCTTTATTAGCCTCTGCAGGGGTCTTGGGTCAGGCTCACGTGATTGAGCTCTTCTGCAGGAGCTCAGAAAGTGTTTGGAGGTGAGCCCTGCATGCGCTCGTGTTCGAGGAGATGTGTGAGCAGGGAATGCTGGGATCAAAGAAACTTAACGGCTTGAGCTGATTATGAGAAATCAATCCTGAGTTTATATGTGCTGTTCCAAATGACTTAATCCAAATGGGAAGATCAAATTTAAAAAAACAGACATTAATTCCTTTAGAGGCAGGAGGAAAAAAAGCCTGAAAAGGTTGGGTGTATTAATTTACACGTGCCATTGTAAACCTAATGCTGTAATGAGTTTTTCTCTAGCAGGAAATAGTGCATAGAATTAAATGACTGTATTCTTCAGAGAAGGAGGACGCCAGCTGACTTGTGTCATTAATGGAACAAAACTGCACAAATTAGCATGGATTGTCGGTGATTACTTTGTTTATTTTGTTGCAGAACAGAGAGCTGAGACCAGAGGAACTGGATGGTAAGTTCTACCTCATTGCTAAAGTGTCACGGTTTCCACACAAATAAAAAGGGGTGACCTAGTATGAGAGCCTGTTCTAGTACACCCCCAAAACAAGATCAAGACCTTGTAAAAGAGCATAATAGGAGCCCTTTAAACAGCACAACTGTTTTCAACATTGACAGTCATCAGAAATGTTTCTTAAGCAGCAAATCAGCATATTTGAATGATTTCTGAAGGATAATGTGACTCTGAAGACCCTGCTAAAAAAATCCAGCATTGCTGATTGCTGGTTGCTGGATCCCAGCATGGGATGCTGGTTGCTGGTTTGTTTGTCCCCAGCACGGTAAGCTGGTGTGCTGGTGGACCAGCAACTATGTTTTGCATGCTGGGACCAGCTTGGGATGCTGGTGTGCTGGTGGACCAGCATTTGTTGTTTTTTGGGTGCTGGTATTATCCCAGAAAGACCGTAACAAAACTTGTGTATGTGTTAGATATCGCATTTCTTTTAAAATTGGATAGTGTTTGTAGTTAAAGACCAAGACAATTTTCCAAATAAATTTTTATAAATTATTTAATAAAGAAAAGCACATGTTGCTGCACTCTAAAAAATGCTGGGTTAAAAACAACCCAACTTGGGTTATTTGGCAACCCAGCGCTGGGTAAATATTGGACAGAAAGAACACATGCTGGGTTATTTTGACCCAGCTGGTTGAGTTAAATGTTTTTACCCACCATGCTGGGTTGTTTTATTTAAGTCATCTATTGTTTAAAAATTATTATATTGCTGGCTTAAAATGGACTGGAAATGAAAAAAAAAACACACAGAATTACTAGAGGCAACAGCAATTTAGAGGCAAAAGCAGAAACACAACAACTACAGCCACAAAGCCTTAGATGAAATCAATATCGCACCAGAGGATAATTAGACAACTGCAAAAACAGAATATTAGCATATTCACTTATTGCAAACCAGTTTGGCTTTATTTCTTTCATATGGTACACGCACAAAGATTACTAAAGTATGTTACCATTATGGTAATTAGTGTTCCCTTTAGTTGAGCACTTGGCCATTGACTTTGGTTAAATGAACTCTGTTTCAGCAATTGTTAAAAGTGCACGCTATCATTATTTTCAATATTTCATGGTCCTAACTGCACTGACATACCTTTTACTATGTGCACTTTTTGAAATAAGTGACTGACAGCTGGATTTGGACATATGTGACTTCCCAGATAAGTATGAAAATCTTTAAAAAAAACAACTTTCAGTTTTGAACTTTCATTATGAAGTTGTTATTAACTGTCCCATTGAAAGAGCTCTTCTCATAACCCCTGTTATCCAATGTACACAAGCTCTTTTTAACTGATTTTACCTGACAGCTGCCCTACTGACACTCAACCCTACAAAGCCCATGCTGGTGATCCAGCATCACCAGCTCCATTTTTCTTGAGAACAGCATGCTTGGATATGCTTGTCCACCAGCTAAACCAGCACTATACCAGCATAAACCAGTCTGGACCAGCATCAATCAGCCTGGACCAGCACTATAACAGCACTAACCAGCATAAACCAGCACTATACCAGCATAAACCAGCCTAAACTAGCACTATACCAGAACTAACCAGTCTAAACCAGCACTATACCAGCATAAACCAGCCTGGATCAGCACTATACCAGCACTAACCAGCAGCGTAAACTAGATTAAACCAGCCTGGACCAGCACTATACCAGCATAAACCAGCATGGACCAGCTTGGAATCCATGCTGGTTTATAATGGATTTTTCAGCAGGGGACTGGAGTAATGATGCTGAAAATTCAAATGTCTTATAAACCGAAGCCATTCATAGTAAACAGTGTTTCTGATATTAAACTAAACTGAACTAGAGTCTTCAGAATGCTCAAGTGTTTTAGGGTGTATTCACACCAGGAAAGTCCGCTAGTTCACTTGCTTTTGTCCGGACCAAATACAATGTTGATTTTTTTTCACTGGTGCGTTTTGCTTTCACACTGCCCTTTTTGTAAGTGAACCAGAAACTAAACAAAACCACACGTGTGCTTGAGGTTATCCATTCATTGGTTCATCCATTCAACCGTACCAGAGTTCATTTGGAAGCGGACCGAGACCACCTCTTCAGCTGGGTCTCGGTACGGTTGTTTGGTCCGCACCCGAGTGCCATTATTGTATTCACACCTGCCCAAAAGATCCGCACCAAAGGGGGAAACGAACTTGAGTTCGATTCAATCAAACCAAACAAGACAGGTGTGAATACACCCTTAATCACATATAATTTCTGACATTTCGATGTGTGCAAATTCTCACTCTGAAATTTCCCAGCACACTCCAATATAATGTGTCAATTGTTCCAATTTATTTTGAAGAGCTTTTATTTCATTGTGAATAGAAAAGGTTTGCAATGAAGTATTCAGTTACAAGTGTTTTGGTCATTCAGAGATTCATTGTTGTGCTTTGTAATTGTCTTCAAACTTGTTTTGAAAGCAGAGCACAATAGGGAAACATAATTGTACTATAAAATATTCTCTTTTCATGATCTCTAACTCGCTCTGTCCTCTTTTTTCCTGACCTGCTTTCTATCTTCACAGAGCTACGAGAAGCCTTCAAAGAATTTGATAAAGACAAAGACGGCTTCATTGGCTGCAAAGACCTGGGGAACTGCATGAGAACCATGGGATACATGCCCACTGAGATGGAGCTCATCGAACTGAGTCAGCAGATCAACATGAACTGTACGCAACAACAAATCAACATGTTTTGTTTAACATTTATTTAGAAATGTAGGTTATATATGGGCTCTGTGTGGTGCTGCCTACATACACATGTTCTTCTAATGCCGTAGAAGAACATAGAAGAAAACTTTACTAATCTAAAGAACCTTTTATGCAATGGAATGGTTCCATGGATGTTGAAGGTTCATCATGGAACCAAAGATGCCAATAAAGAATCTTTGTGGAAGTTCACTAACAGCATGTGTCTTCTGTCTTATAGTGGGAGGACATGTGGACTTTGAGGACTTTGTGGAGCTGATGGGCCCCAAACTTCTGGCTGAGACGGCAGATATGATCGGAGTAAAGGAATTGAGAGATGCTTTCAAAGAGGTGAGGTAGGCCTGCACAATTTGTGGAAAAAAGCAGATTGTGTTTTTTCTGATATATTTTTCCTGCAATGTAAAATGCCGTTTAAAAAATTAAATAGCATTTTCTTAAATTGCAATTTAAAAAATAAATAATAATAATAGTAATTATTATTATAAAAAATTATATATAGAATTATTAATTATATCAATTATCTAAACAATTATATGAAATTATCTAAAAATTATTAATTATTATTATTATAAAAATGACTAAAAAACAAAAGAAAAATATTACAATTGTACTATTTTGCTATTTTATGTAAAGCACTTTGAATTACCATTGTGTATGAAATGTGCTATATAAATAAACTTGCCTTGCCTTGCCTTGCCTATTTTGAAAATATTGAGAATTTAAGAAAAATTATATCACCATAATTTTATTTTACATCACAACTGTAAAATGAAACACACAGCACATACATTTATTTAATATAATATAATCACAGCCTTTACGATTAGATAATTGCACTAAGCCATATTGCCATTTTGATTTTATTTCAATGAATAGCGGTGCTTTTAAAAAGGTGAGGTGCAATTTTTCTGATTAAAATGTACTTTAAAATGTGATTTTTTTTTTTAATGTTTTGATAAAAAAAAAAATCTAGGTTTGGTGTGCTTGTTGGTAGGCCTGCACAATTTGGCCAAAGTAAAATAATAGTAATAATAATGTTATTATTTTATTATTATTACTAAATAAAATATAAAAATAGTAAAAAACAAAACAAGAAATATTACTACTGAAATATTTCACAAAATTAATAATAATAATAATAATAATAGCAATAATAATTATTGTAAAATTACAATACTGATAAAACATGCAGTGCATATATTTATTTATTTAACACACAACCTTTGGGATTTGATAATTGTAGTACGAAATCTAAGCCATATCACAATTTTGATTTTATTTCAATTAACAATGCAGCGCTGGGGGAAGTCGTGGCCTAATGTTAGAGAGTCGGACTCGTAACCCAAAGGTTGCGGGTTCAAGTCTCGTACTGGCAGGGATTGTAGGTGGAGGGAGTAAATGTACAGCGCTCTCTCCCACCTTCAATACCACGACTGAGGTGCCCTTGAGCAAGGCACCGAAACCCCAACTGCTCCCCGGGCGCCGCAGCATAAATGGCTGCCCACTGCTCCGGGTGTGTGTTCACGGTGTGTGTGTGTTCACTGCTGTGTGTGTGCACTTTGGATGGGATAAATGCAGAGCACTAATTCCGAGTATGGGTCACCATACTTGGCCACATGTCACTTCACTTTCACTTTTTCTAAAGTGAAAGGTGCCAGGTGACGTCACACAGAACAAAAACAGCACACCAATAAAATGGCAAAAAATAAACTGTAAATATGGATGAAGAAGTAACATTTGACACAGAACAGTTGCTCTTAGCTTGAATGCACATTTCACTTCACGCATTCCTTTAAAACCGTAAAATTGCCAAAAATTGTCATGGAGAGCAGGAAAGCTTGAATACATTTAAACCTCTTACCACTCTTCTTTTGTTCCCTTTCTCTCAGTTCGACACCAACGGAGACGGTCAGATCAGTACAGCAGAACTAAGAGAGGCCATGAAGAAACTGCTGGGCCAGCAGGTACGTTATTTACTTTACTGAAAAGCTTTTATAGCTCTCATCCGATTCTCCTTTCATTCTTTTATTGATTCTTATTCCATCAGGTGGGTCACAGAGATCTGGAGGACATTCTGCGGGACATCGATTTAAACGGAGACGGGCACGTGGACTTTGAAGGTGAGCCACCTTGTGTTTGCTATGCTAATTAGTAATGCTAATTTCACTGCCGCAGTGTCTTTATTGCTGTGCTAGGTGTAGAGAATTGGTTTATGCAGCATGGGAGAAAATGTTCGCTATGATCTGTCCACAATAATCTAAAAAATATTGCATTCACGTTCCCTTCCATGTCTCTTGTCCATATTTTGGAATCCGCAGTAAGATTTAATTATGGAAAGCAATAATTCCAAGGTTTAATCCCAAATTTAATTAGTTTTTTCATCTCATTTTGATCTCAAAGTTATTAAAGTAGCAATCAGCCTTTTGAAAAGTACATTTCTTGAGGGGAAACGGATTTTGGAGGGACAAATACATAGACGTACTCTAGTGTTCACAGCACAAGCTCTTCAGTCTAACCAGAACATTTATTGAAACTAATTGCAAAAAGTAGTTCTGTCAGAAAAAGTGGAAAATTACTTTTTATGGAAGAAACCTTGACTTCAGAAAAAATGCAATGCAAAATACAGAATATGAAAAAAAGGACTGAGACAAATGATCCCTATTTTTGGATCCATTATTATTTATTTTGCTCCCTCATGCTGTGAGCCGCTGTGTCACACAGTTTCGCTGCTATTGAATCTCATCCTCGTGAAGGCGGTAAAGTGACAGTAGTAGAGCTGTCAACCAGATTATCTCTTAACCACGGGATTATTTCACCTCTCATATTAACCACGCTCAAAAAGAGCATGAAAACGGCAAGGACAAAAATAGCTAGCACTGTTATTCTTGCTGATGACTGGAGGTTTGACAGTTGAACGTCCTCTTGTTGTATTTGGAGCTCAGGCTAACTTTGACTCATCCGAGGTCAACAGTACATTTGCTTTTCATATTAACCACGCTCAAAAAGAGCATGAAAACGGCAAGGACAAAAATAGCTAGCACTGTTATTCTTGCTGATGACTGGAGGTGTGACAGTTGAACGTCCTCTTGTATTTGGAGCTCAGGCTAACTTTGACTCATCCGAGGTCAACAGTACATTTGCTTTGTTTTTTTCTTTCGTTATTTATAAAGCAAGAATTTATAGAGCAGCGGTTCCCAAACGATGGGCTGCAACCCAAAACTGGGACACAGACAGCAGAGAAAAACAATGGCAAATGCAAAAATAATACCACACTAATAATATAATTATGCAGAGTTTGGATAGCAAATTATATGCTCTAAAAGGGAGAAAAATTTCTTGTTGTTCATGGCAAAACCACACACACACACACACACACACACAAATAGGAGACAGTACTTAAAAAATTGTATCCTATTTTTTAAGAAATTTTCTATAATTGGGTGCAATAAATATACTGACATAAGTGCATAAATTGTGATAACGTGTTGGGTCACCACTTGATGTAAAATCTGCATCCTTAAGCAAAACCAGTAGGGAACCACTGTTTTATTTATTTATTCATTTATTATGTAATTAAATTTTGGACATGGACATCACAAATATATTGGACAAATCAAATGCATTTGCTTAAGTTTTTTAGCATACATGCTATTTTTCAACACCTTTCCATGGGAGGCTTTAGAAAAAAACAGTAATAATAACATTGCACAAAAAAATAATAATAACAATGCTAACAATAGAAGTAATAAAGGGGGGAAAATTAAATATACCATGAAATTACAAAAGAAAAAAAAACATATATTCAAAATGATTTATATGCATAAGCAATAGAGCAAAGGCGACATGATCAGACAATAACCCAGTGGCCACCGCTGTTTTGTTTTTAGCCATTGTTTAAGTCCTCTGTTAAAAACACTGCCATCAGTCTCTAATTTTAAATTAAGTATGTAAAGCATTCCAGAGTTTTGGCCCCTTTGCAGCGAAAGCAGACTGACCAAAAGAGGTCTTATACTTTGGGACAGACAGACAGTCGCCACTAATAATGGCCCATGAGAGCTCTGGCGCCTACAGGCTAATTTAAATAACTGACTGTTTAAATAAAACAATTTCTGGTCTTTCTTCTATCAGAATTTGTGCGAATGATGTCTCGCTAGAGGAAAGGTGGACAAACCATGTCGTAAATTGGATCTCCTGTGCTCTGGCATAGATAGAGGAGGATGGAGGTGAGGAAAGATCAGGAGGAAGCGGGAGCAGCCTCACAAGAGGAACTTCTGGAACATGACCTCTGACCTTAAAAGCACACAAGAAAGAACTGCACTATTACCCTCCATAACAGCTTTCATGAAGCCCAGAAGCCAACAGTGGGAACGAGAGGATGACTCTAATACTAATACTGTGATCTCTGAAATATATTTGTGTAATGTTTTGTTTTTACCCAATATAAAGCCTGCGAAGGGTCTGATGCAAAAGAAAATGCCCCGAGAGCAACCAATCAAAACAGCAACTGATCAAACTACTCGAGTATTAAAAAATTTCACTACTTTCATTTACTGGCATCTCACACCTACTTTGTTACAGTAGGGGTCATCAGATGAACTGCAATAACATTGCCAGTTTCATATTTAAGCTATTTATTAATATTTGTAAAATATAGAAAGATGAGTGTGTATACTTTCCCTTTAAAAGACTCTATGATAGCTTATTACTCACAAAGATTTTATTTTATATATCAATGTACTGGGAAATGCTGGAAACTTTGCTATCAATCATTTGCTATTATTGTACAATACATATGCACTACTGTATGCGTGGACATATTTTTGAAATGAAGAGAAAGATTTGCCATAAAGAAAACATTACATTGCCCTGGTTTGCACACTGTCTTGCATGAATGCTAGTGCTGATACTATTGAGTCAACACAGCCGTGTAGCCTACACTTGTGTGGTTCTGTCATGTATTTAAATGTTGTAAGTTTAGTTAACAGTCCATCAAGCATCTTTGATCTTAATACACTATTTGAGACGTACTTTGTGTGAGTGAATGTGTGTGAGAGAGAGAGGTTGGATTGATTTTCTTGCATCTTATTTGTGTGATTTCAAGTTTGTCTTACCCGAGTTATTCTATGCATGCCAAAACAACTTTTTGTAGAGTGTAGATTTCATTAAAGAGTTGTGCAATCAAACAGTTTCTGATTTGATCTTGTATTCTTAAAACACCAAGACTAATCTGTCGATAATAAAGCAATTGTATTATTGAGCAACATATCTACCTTATTTAAGATAAGAACTACCAGTGTTGCCAACTTAGCAATTTTGTTACTAAATTTAGCAACTTTTCACACTACCCTAGCAACTTTTTCTTCCAAAAGCACCTAGCAACAAATTTAGCTATGTTTAAAATGTATTTGGCAACTTTAACAACTTTTGATATGTGACTAAAACAATAAAAAGGCACATATTTTTCATCTAAATCAAACAAAATGAGGAAAGCAAAGATGCCTAGCAGTACACACATAGTTGCTATTTGCAATTGTTTAATTTAATAATAATAATTGAATATTTGTCTAATTGTTCATTTATGATACACCTTGTTAGTAGCTTGTACCTGCGATTGTTGATCAGTTAGTACACTGTAAGAAAACTATCTAGAAAAATGGAAAAGGTACTAGTTATTTTCCAGGACATTATCCGTAATCCATTATTCATTATCCATTGTAACCCTGTAACCCGAAAACACAAAATGCAATGCGTAATTTAAAATGCAGGTAAAAAAAACTGGAAAATCAATACGGAAAATTCCTTCATATTAACATAGTAGATTGTGCCCTATTTTTATACTAACTAACTGCTAATACACTGCTTAAAACTATAATTGTTCAGAATGTGTAGTTTTACTAGTTTACTAGCTAATCAAAATGTTTTAAATTGTAATTGTTCAAACATGTTGTATTTAAAAATACAGTTATTTCTATTTTAATATTATATTACGTTATATTATTTTATGAACAAATCTAAATTAACACAAAAAATATTTGTTACCTGAGATTTGGTGTAATTTTGCGTCATAATTACGTAATGATGTCATTGTGCAATGACATCATGTCATTTAGCAACTTTTAGCAACAAATGGACCTTCCTTTAGCAACTTCCCCTGAAAATTAGTTGGCAACACTGAGAACTACTTCCGGTGTCATTTGTGTTCAGTTATTTTAGCTGTACAAAAACAGTCCCTTAGTCCCCCAGCTTGATTTGCAAACTAGTTTTTCATATAATTGTAATGTATTGCATTCATAAACACTGGTTTGTAGAGCAAACAGTTTTACCATTTACTGCACTTTGCTATTGTTCTAGTAATTTGACCATACGGAAGTTTCGCGCATTTACAGAAAATAGCTTACGTTCGTCTGTCAAAATAAGGTGGAAATGTTTTGCTGTTATAAAAGAGCAATCGACTAGTTAAATAGTCACGTGTTTCTGTTACCTGCATGACACACAGTAGAGTTCCAGCTCCAGCATCTGGCCACAGGTGCTTTTGCAGTATGTGAGGCACTTACATTTCAACCTTGGACTTAACAGTATTATTTTGGTGAAGAATTTCAAAAAATTTCTGTTTTTAAATCACAATGCTCTCTGCGATAGGAATGAAATAAACTATTTTCTGAAGGCCAAACTGGGACATTAAAAGTTTGTAAAGACAAGTTTGCTGTAGAAACATTTGAGATGATAAGGAATTGGATGACTTTCAAAAAAGAAACCCCTAAACCCACTTTTCACACTCTCTCTAGATGTTTTGATTTGTCTACCAACAGTGCACACATGTATCACAGTAATTTTTGTGTGTCATGAACATTTCCATCACATTACAAATTATGCAAAATTATTTGTAACATTTTTGGACCAAAATGGTTGACTTAATTAAGGCTAATTTCAAAGCTGACTTTTAATGCATCCTAAATACACCAAATTAAATAACATTTTCACACCTTTTGCACCGTTTGACAAATTAAAGATAGATTGGAAATGACGGACAACAGACTCACAAGAGACTTTTTTACTATTTAATTTTTACCTTTTTGTTTTTTTTCTTTCTTGTCTTCACACATTCTCATTTCATCTCTTCACTGACACTGTTGTCTCTTTTGGTAACAAGAAAACGAATGTTTATTTGGGGCTAAATCGTTAGTTTTAGAGGAAATTACACCACGTCTGAAGGATAGTGATAATTAAAATAAATAAAATTAAATAATAAAAAATAGATAGATAGATAGATAGATAGATACACTGTAAAAAAATTTAACGGATTTAACGGTAAAAGACTGTAAAAATGCTACAGTAAAATCCTGTTAAATGGTTAACGGTAAATTCCCCTACTACATACGGTGAAAAACTGTATTGGACATTATATGTATTGGACATTAATTTTACGGTAGTATACCATTTTTGGAAGTGAAAAAGACTGTATAATTTACAGTGAATAACCGTAAATTGACATTCCCAGAATTCCCTGCATTACATTTCAAATTTTATGTTTTTTTGTTGAAATAACTATGTTTCTTCTTAGTTTTTTCTATTAGGGTTGTGTGTTACACCTAATGTTGTTAAATTAATGTTTATTGCATTATTTCAGTTTCATGTGTGTTACCATGATGGTGTT